ATAAATATAAATATAAATATAAATATAAATATAAATATAAATATAAATATAAATATAAATGCATGTTATCGCTTTCTTACCTCTTCTTTTTTATTTGCTTTTATTTGTTTTTGTTTTTTGTTTTTGTTTGTTTTTGTTTGTTTAAAGGTGCATCAGCTACTAATGCCTTACAAACAACAACAAAAGAAACTCTACGAAGAAATAGATAAACTCAGGTGCTGCTGCTGCTGCTGCTGCTGCTGTTGCTGTTGCTGTTTCTGCTGCTCCTGCTTGTGCTGCTCTACTAGCCGCTGAACCCTAAACCCTAAATCCTAAACCCTAAACCCTATCCCCTAAACCCTAAACCCTATCCCCTAAACCCTAAACCCTAAACCCCTTCGTTTTTTGCTTCTTTAGAAATTCTCTCGCTGACAAAAATTGCGATAAATGCAAATGGCTCACAGATGAAGTCAAAACCCTGCAGGTACAAAACCCTAAACCCTAAACCCTAAACCCTAATCGATAGACCCTAAACCCTAATCGATAGTCCCTAAACCCTCATCCATAAACCCTAAACCCTAAACCCCAAACCCTGAGTGATTCAGGGTCTATCTCATGTCTTAGGCATGGCCGGAAAGCATAACAGGAAGATTAGGGTTTAGGGTTTAGGGTTTAAGTTTGTTTAGGGTTTAGGGTTTAGGGTTTAGGGTTTACTGTCTACACATGAAAAATTAGGGTTTAGGGTTTAGGGTTTAGGGTTTAGTTTTGGGTTTAGGGGTTTGCAGGAGGCTCTCGCGGCGATGCAAAAAGAACAGAATACAGAGTGTGATGAAAGGCAAACCCTAAACCCTAAACCCTAAACCCTAATCCCTAAACCCTAAACCCTAATCTCTAAACCCTATACCCTAGTGCGTAAGCCCTATACCCTAATTCCTAAACCCTAAACCCTAAAACCTAAACCCTAAACCCTAGATCAGCTCCCTGGCTAGGGTTTGTTGTCGGTGTTTGTTTTGTTTTAGAGAGAACTCTGAGAAAATGCAGAAGAGAGAAGAAGAGAAGGTAAATGATATTATTTATTTTTTGTTTTGTTTGTTTGTTTTATTTATTTGTTTTATTATTTATTTTTTAAATAATCTCTGTCTTTGTTTATTTGTTTATTTACATTTTTGGTTGTCTGGTTGATATGTTAATTAATTAATTAATTAATTAATTAATTTGTTTATTTGCAGCCAGCAGCAGCAGCAACAGAAGAAGAAGAAAAGGAAGCAGCAGCAACAGCAGCAGCAGCAGCAGCAGCAGCAGCAGCAGCTGAGATGAACAGCAGCAAACAAGAAGTAAGAGAGGTTTAATTTTAATTTTTTTTGTTTGTTTTTATATACTTTTAATTAAACTGCATTTATTAATTCTTTACTTTAAACTAACGACAATTTTTATTTATTTTATAAATATAATTTATTTATATTTATATTTTTATATTTACA